TTGGGCTTGGCTTGGAGATTCTGTTTCTGGAAGAATCTCCTTTCCTTCTTCTCTTCTTTGTATTGCCCCTCTCCTTACAGTAAAGATTGCCTGTTTTTAACAAATGGCTTCCTTCGCAAAGAGACAGAATATATCAACCTTAATATTATGAATTCAGCAAATGATAGGCATATACATTTTAGCACGAACATCCAATAAAAATAAATACATCTGCAGTGAACATGGTAAATTATATGCAAACTTACACTATAATAATAAACAGGAAACAGCAGCATCTGAGTCTGCAACTGGCTTCTCAGGAGGCTCCATGCTTCCAGCTGTGGTAGCAGCTGTGGATCTGGCTCTGGAACTCTTGCTGAAACAAGCTGACAAAGGGATGATTACAACATGGAGTTCAGTTTCTGCTTGGATTCATTTTCCTTTTAACACACTTTGGTTATGGAAAGTTTGCTCATTTACCCTCTTTGCGGTTTTATATCCTGCGCTTCACAGTCATTGGGCTGGTGTGGTGATTATCACCATTCCTAGTGACCCTGATCGTAGGGACCTTATATTGTCTATACTATTTGTGGAACATTGCAATTTGGTTTTGGCTTACTGGAAGAAATTGAAAATTCTCTTCCTTCTCCCTCCCCATCCCCAGAGGCTGTTCAGCATTTTTGTCCAAAATATTACACAGTAAAGTTGTTGGGGTTTATTTTTTTAATTGTTTTTATATGCATAGAAAACAATTTCGGAGAAGACCAAATGATACCTGCAGTGAAATCTGTAGAACAAGCAAAATACTGGGTAAACTCTGCCAGGTGAACCAAGTACAGAACTTCTTTTTATTGCTTTTTATTAAAGGGAAGAATTCTGATTTCACATAACCTGAGTGAGCAAAACAGCATTTACCCCTGTGTTCCTAAAGCAGCTGTATAGATACGTTCACTTATTGCAGGTCCTTTTTTCCACCTCTGGTTGCATGGGCTCTTTTTCTGATTGCATGCTAAAGATATAGTTAAGCTACAAAAATGTCTGGCCTTGAATCAGCAAAGATTTAAGCACATACTTAGAATTAAACACTTCCATTGCATAGTCTGCTTTGTGAACTCCCAGATATTTGCTTCTGCTCTCATACTGTGGAGTGTCTCTGGTGAATATCCTGAGACCAAGATAGTCTTTTTCATTACAAAGTCTTTTTTTCTTTCAGTCCCGCCATCTTTTTAGAAAACAGCTGTATTCTCCAACTTAATTAAATCCCCAAATTAAATCCCAGTTGCCTCTGTAACTGAGTGCTCAAATTGTTCCCTCTTTTTCCCTCTGCTGCTTTTCTTCATATAAGATCTTGTTTTTTCTCCTAAGGAAAAAGAGATACAGTATGCTCTTCCTTCTGTCACTCTCTTCTCCCTCCCCTAATCCTTTCTCTTTCTCGTCCGCTGTCAGAGCAGCAGGAGTTTCTTGTCTACTTGCCATCTGTACCCCTTCCACTTGCCCCAGTGACCCCATGTTCTATTCTTTCTCTTATTTCTCCCCTTCCTTATTCTCTTTCTTAACCTCTCATTGTCCTCTGGCTCTTTTCCACTGCAACATAAGCAAGCATTTGCTGTTTAAAAATTGCACCTTTGACCCTACTTGGTTCTTCATATCATATCTCATCGCCTATCTTTTCTTCATTCCTAAGCTCATTGAAGGCGCTGTTTATAATTACTGTCTGGAGACCCTCTTCTGTGATTCCCTCCTATAACTCCTACACTTTGGCTTCTGTTCCTTGCTTGCAACTGCAACAGCTCTCACCAAACTCCCTGATGACAAGATCTCAGAAACAGTAGTCTATCCTCATTCTTCTTGACTTGTCAGTAGTGTTTGCTGCAGTTGACCAGAATTCTTTAAACTTGTGTCTTTTGTTGCTTTCTGTGGCTTTGTCTTGTAAATTTTCTTCTTTCTAAGCAGTTCTGCAGCATATTTCAAAGTCGTCTCCCATTTTGGAGGGGTGTGGGTGGAGGTCTTGGGGCTCTGCTTTGGCTGGATTCTCTTGTGCTTTTAATGCCTTATGGGTTATTTCATATACAAAAAAGAAAATGTAGCAGCCAAACATCTCTGTAGGTAATAGATCTACTTTCCTATTAAAACCTGTTTCCTCTCACTTAAGCTTATTGACTTGGAACCACACAAATGCAATTACAAAGCATCCCACCTGGCACTGCCTTAAGTCTAGATGTTTTAGAGAATGCTCAGACCAGACACAGGATTATCTTCCCTCTTTCACATAGACACGCAAATTTTCTCCTTTCATATGCCAGGCTCTCTGTACCCCTGCTAGCTGGGCTCAGCCCTTGCCTGCATCTGGTCCAGCTTGCATTACTTTTTCTACAAATGACTAAAACTGTGTCTCTTCTTTCCAATAAGAATATAGCAAGACCTTGTCAAGTGGAATTCATAGCTTATGTCCTCTATTAAAAATGCTTTTCCTGATACATGTTTGGAGTGCATTTTGCTCTTTTACAGCCTCATTTTAAGCATTTCACTTTCTTCGTCATTGCCATCAACTGAGTTCCATTTCTATCGCTCCTGTCCATTCTCCATGGAATCCCAATGCTTTATTTTGTATTGACAGTACCAAGAAATTTAACGTTATCACCACATTTTATCACTTTTTATGCCAATTCATTAGATGAAAATATTAGATAAAATTCTGCCAAGCTCATACTTGGTGACACAAACAGTTCTTTCATTCTCCACAGGACTTTGTTCTCTTTCTGGTAGAAAGTTCTTTACCTGTCAAATTCTTTCAGTAATCCCTATTTTCTCCAGTTCAATATTGAATATCAGATGCCTGGATAGATTATATCTATCATATTTTCCTTGTTTAAAATGTCAGTCTAGTCACAATGGTGTAAGCATGCAGAATTCATAATCACAAACAGATTTGTACATTGTAGTAGGCAGATTCCTCAGGTCACCACATACTTTTATACCCCAGCAGGCCCAGCTGAATTATGTGAGCGCAGGCGAGTTTCTGCTCACTGGTGTGAACCACAGGGAGTATTCCCTTGCTCTCTAGATACCTTTTGGCCTGCTTTTACTTTTGTTTGCCCTACTCCATTCCAGATGTCATTCATGCCACATTATCACTACCAAATGCACGTCTTCTTGATCTAATGTATGTAGCTGTTAGGAACATGTAAAGATATATGTAATTAAAGGGAACGTGCACATATGTACTGTATGTTTTGCATTTACTTTGTGTTTAGTAGTGTTCTTGCTCTCTTCATAACAAGTGCTGTGGCTGATGTTGCAAAATAATTTCAGTAAAAATCTGTGTATTCGCTAGCTCTAGGCACTCTAGTATTATGTAAAAAGCAATCCTTTGGGTCTGAAATTTTTCATGCTTAGTTTCATTTGAAAAACTGCATATGCTTAAAAAAAATTAAGGAAATGATCCTGAATTGTTTTTGAGTTATGTGTCACTGAAAAGCAGGGCAGTGTTTAACTGTTAACAGTAGCTACTTTTTAAATCTTTAATGTAGATAAGAAAATTTAGAATTTTGAAACTTAAGCACTGACATCTAAATTGGAGGTGATATTTAATGAAGTCTATGGCCAAGTTTCAAAAACCTGGTTTTCATAATGGCATACAGATAATTGAAATCATGCCTAGTAGGCATCTGGACTAAAATTATGAGCAGGATGTAATGGACCCAACCACTTTTGTGGAAACAAAATTAATTTCCATTTCTTTGTCAGGACTAATCAAGTTCTTTTTAGGTTAAAGGTTTGCTTCATTCTTACTGCTACTTCCAGTGTGCCAACACTGTACCTTCATATAAGGGATGGAATATGTTCTACACATTAAAATGTTGTAATTTTTTTCACAATTTGTTTTTGCCTGTTACTCATCCTAATTTCACATTCTGTCAATCAGTTTCTCCTTCAACTGCAAAGAAACAATACGTCCTTTACCCTGTGGACCTTGACTACATACAAACTGGCATCTGTTCAATCCCGTTTGCATTATACAGTGTCTAATTTTACATTATATCCTTCAGTGTTGAGGGAAAGGGAATGATGGGGGATCGATGAAGGCTCTTGTTCTTCTGTTAAGCAGTTGAGCAGCCTTCCACTGGGACTGGGGCTCTGCCTGCCTCTGAATCTGTTGTAAATCCCTCTATAGCCACACTTAGTTTGATTTTTGAATGGCTGTTTCTGGTTAGTTTAATCCTATTCCTAATCAATTTAAGATAAACAATTAGAAGTTTAATTGGAATTTCATGGCTCTTAACTGTCATTAGAAAAAGGAAATTTAAACCAAATTCTACACTAACACAGCATTAAGACTGAACAACGGACACTTGGTTGTGGCTTTCAATTTTTGTGCTTTGTGGAGCCAATGGCTGCTGAGAGACAGGGTCTGGCTTCTCGGTTCCTTCTTGTCCCAAGGCATACATACCTAAACTACAGCTTGCAGTGGCGCTATAATTCTTTTGGGGCACTGGACAGAAATGCCAGTACAGAGATAGAGGGTGAAAGCTATCCCATTCACCACAATTCTAATGACTTATGAGATGGTGGGGTTGTTATAAGTTGCTTGTGTTCATGTGTTGCTCTCCGTGATCTGGGTAGCTGGCACAAGGAAGAAAATTGTATCTTCCTCTGAATACCTTGTGTGGGCCAGACAAGGCAAAACTTGAGCTGGCTCTTACAACTTCAGAAGGAAATACCAAGAAAAATTGAAGTCTCCTGCAGCAGCATTAGCTTGGCAGCATTGCCAGTCCTTTAGAACTTGTGACATACACTGAGCATAAATAAAGCTATAAATCTCTGTTCTGTAATTTAAAAAGAAAATTGATAAACCTGCTGTTTTCATCTGATGTAATTTTAACTTTTCATTCGAATATTTATTCTACATTCACTGGTTTAAATATGCAAAATTATATTTAACCTTTTTTTTATGTAACTTGGATGGATACAGGTACACATAGGTAAAACAGAAGTATCTTTGTTTGTTCTTTTTATTGTAGGTATGTGTCATGTGCATTGGGATGCCCATACGAAGGAAAAATCACACCAGCTAAAGTTGCAGAAGTAAGAGTGAACTTCTGGCTTGTCTTTTTAATGAATCAAAAATACATTTTAAAATGTCTTCAAGTAATGTTCTCTACTTAATCCTAAAAATATCTTTAATAGATAAAATTGAAGGAAAACAAACACAAAACATAGCTAATACTAAAACTGGATGCATAACCTCACTCAACCATATGCAGTCAAGTCTAAGGAAAATAGTATGTTTTGATTGTTATCAGTCTTGAGGAAAAAATATTATGTGCTATTTCCTCCAACAAGAAGGTAAGGAAATGCTTAAGGAAATAGACTCGAGCACATGTGTCAGTGGACCATGTTGTACGAGATGATTTCCAGCACAACCTCTTGCAAAGGGTATCTGCCTTTAAATCCATTTTATACTGGCATAAGCAGACTGTGCTGTCAGCTGGTAGAGCCACTGCTACAATATTGTGCTTCTGGCGAGTGTCATGTGATTGACACATGAACCAAAACTCATCCCCAACATGATTTCCTACTACTTAACTGGCTCTACTGCTGTGGTGGAATAAGCTGCACCTTCCCTCCTCACCCCCGTTTCCCATTTAGGATAAAGAAGAAATGCAGTGTGTTAGTCCAGCCTTGTTTTCCAGAAGAGAAAGAGAGGAGTGAAACACAAGTGTTAAATTTTGCAGGAAGGCAAAGAGGGCCTGAAAGCTGAAATGGACAGTAGAGAAGAAAGCAGAGAGAATTCAAGAGGCACAAGGCAGAACACGCTGGTCTTCCTCCTGGAGAAAGCCTTGTCTTCTCTGTTACACGTAATCACCTACTTTTGGTGATCTAGCAGAATCTCCAAACCACTGTTTTTTTTCCTTTGTAGCACTAGCAGCTGGTCAACATTTGTCTGATATATTGTGTTCTGCATGTGTGGCTTTCAGGTCATGTTCTCCTGCATCATCTTCTAGTATACATTCCAGATGGAACTTGGGATAATACTTCTCCCACAGCAGCCACATATACTCACGCTCTTTGAAAAAAATAACTCAATTGGAAGGTATTCAGTGTTTCTAAATTAATTGGGTTTAATATGAAGTGAAAGTTAGAAGTGACACAGCTTTAGTTAGAGCGGTGATGACAGATTCAGCTGTGCTGTTGGTAAATTGCTTACTGCAATGTCGTGTTCCCCAACAGGCTTCTTTCCATGTGTTGCTTGTTTTTTAACTACTCTCCTTGCACAGAAGAGCTCCTTTTCAGTTTGCCAGTGGGAGTGCTACTTAATGTTCCAAACCTGCAAACTTCTGCTCACACAGATATTTAATTTTCTGTCTTCATCCTAATAAGTGTCATCTTGTGTAGCTGTACACCATTGTGTATGTGTTGGAGAATAAAAGCTGCCTCGCTGAAGTTATTGAGGCCCTGATGCAGCAAGCACTGATGTTTATATAGAAGCATCTGATGAGCTGTTAATGGATTTTACATAAACACATGTACTCATCCATTGCTGAATCAGAATTACCAAAATTACTGGCCGTGTTGCTAAAGCCTTTCAGAGAGCTACCTCTCTGGTCATCGTCTTTCTCGGGATGGGAGTGTGTGACTCCCTTGACTGTGCATTGTAAACGGCAGGTATTATTGAAAGGTTTGAACTGTTTCTTCTGCAGTCAATGATAGCAACCAATTTTTTTTTAATTTATTTAAGCAAAAGTTTTTTTAACTGAAGCAAAACCAATTAGGCGAGGTGGCTCATTAACGAGACTACATGCATGTCTGGCTTACTAGGTACATAACTGTTTTACACATAGTTATCTAGTGAGTGCAAACTTAAGATGCCTTCAGACTTCTAGAATCCATCTGGTACATCCATATGGTTCTTTATTAAAAAAACCCCACATTTCTCATCTATTAAAATAAACTGCATAGTCCTTTTTTATCACTCTGCTTTTTCTTGAAATGAAGTCACTGTTTAACCATTTATCATCCTGTGGTTTGTGAATTTCAGCCTTAGGCAAACAAGACTTGTAAGTTGTTGGAAGCACTGTGTAACACCCCTGAAGCCCGTTGTGTTATCCATTGTCTTCCACTCACATACTTGGCTGTTTTTATCTTTCTGTCTGCTTCTTTCTCTCCTTAGCTTCCTTTTAACCTAGAGCAGTGAATTCATATGAATATTACCCAGCATACAGGCTGATCAGGCTACGGAAAATGTGCCTATTCTTATTTGAATGCTGTTGGATTATTACAAAGTTTCCCTTACAGCACAAGGACTGCAGTGTGGTTTTATGTTTATATTTGCTTAAAATCATCTGTAACTCAATTATGACCTTTTGTATTCAGTTTAAGAGTATAGTTTTAGATATTATTTCCAGCAGTAGGATTGTTCACATGCCTAAGGGTTTGCAGTGCTGGGTCACCAACTCCCGTTTTGATCAATGCTTGGTGTCACGGCAGTATTCCCAAGGGGAGTAGCACAAGACTCATGCATAGTAAAACTGCTCAGTGGTGCAGAACACAACCCTGTTCAATCAACAAAGCTGCAAGCTCGTAATCACATCCTGATTACACTGACAAAACAGTGCGTTCTCTTCTCCCCTACCCTCCTCCCAAAAATCCACATTGAAAACTTACAAAACTATAACTAATGGGCTGCCTCCTACTATGGTAGGATAGAAAATTCAGTATGAAAAACTCCCATTCAGCTTCCAAGCATGCACACTCTTCTTGAAATTAAATATAGATCTCTTTTTAAAGGTCAATTTAAGGTTAGATCATGACAAGTCAGTGATGATGCTCAGCTTGTTAGCAGAGTTTCCCCCTCTCTTCTTTCATCTTTCAGAATTTTATTTTCAGAAAGCTGAAAGACCTAAGGACTGAGCATGGGGAAGAAGTGAATGCAGTATGATTTCTAGCAGTTTATATACTCTCTTTGTCATCACTAAAATGGTCATCTAGAAAAACTCTGAATTGTGAATTAAAAAGAACGTGAGAAAAAAATGCCGTCTTCTTCCTTGATCTTGATCTTAAACAAACACTGAGGTTTGGGAATTAACTAGAGGTAATCCACCACTAACTGCAGATGGTACTTTTTTTTCTTACAGCAGTAGTCCAGTTAAAACACCTGCCATGTGTTGACGATATAAAAATACGCTGTGAGATAGAATCCCTTATTGCAGTCTGGTGAATGTCCCTTTCTTGAAGTGTGTATTAAATTTATGTTGATACGAACCAGGGGCTCTGACTTTAAAGCACAAAGAGTTTTACTACATTTGAAATAGTCATAGCATTTCCAAGCTTTAAGCAGGACGATTCAGACTACTTGAAGTTCTTTTTCAGCTGTTCTTTGAATTAAGTGAACAGCAATATTCATCCAGCACTTCCGAGACTTTTCGTCTAGCACTTTGTCAGCTTTCTCAGACATATTCACAGCAATCCCACTGATGAAATCTTGGAATTGCTTTAACAGCAGAGTGCAGTGCAACTGAAGATCTCTTGGAAAAGGGTCATATTTTTTTCATTTCTAAACTGTTAATTCCCAGATTGGGATTCCATTCCAGTGGAGCGGCCTTTCGGGATTGCTGATGCACAGTGGGAAATGCTAAAGGGGACAAACATACGCAGCAACTGAAAATAAGGTGAAACCCTTTCCAAATAAATTCAACAAAACTAAGATGGAAAGATCCTACATTCAATTTCTAAAGCAATATTTTTGGTGCAAACATAATTTTGTGCTTCCAAGTGTATGTCTCTCATCATACAAACGTTATGAAGCCAGACCTCAAATCTCTTACTCATACAAAAAGCTCCTCAAAGATGTAATTCCAGAAACATTTAGGGCTCTGCTTGCGTAAATGAGAACTATTTGTATAAGGTTTTGTTTGGTATTAAGAAAAATCTTAAAACTTAGACTAGAATGTTAATTAAGTTACAGTTTTGCTTCGTCAGTGTTTTAATGTTTGATTTCATGAAAAGCAAGCAAAATTAATATTAACTACGTGTTAAAACTTCAGTTTTCATTGATGTTTTCAGTGCCAACAGAAAGCAAAATCAGGCTTCTTGTTAAATATTTATTGTCATAGTTCAGCCATGTGCTTAGGTCTGTGTAATAAGCAAACAAAAGGGCAGGTCTTTACCCTGCACAACTTGGAAGCTGAAAATTACATGGAGAAAACCAAACAGCTGGGAAATCCCCAGAGAGAGGAAAATGTTGGGAAAGGACTTGACAGAAACTTAATTCATAGTGTAAAATCTTGCTTATTTGGATTCTGTGGGAGAGTCAAAAAGCAAGTTTTTGATGGATTTGGCTGGGTTGGTTGTTCTGTGTACAGAAGCAGAACTATAAATTTAAACTAAGAGGATCTATGTGACGTTCTTCTTGGGTGACAATTTTCAAGAATGAATAGAGGGTTTCTGATACATAGGTCTACCTCGGTGGGTCAAAGCCTGAAACCTGTACAGAATTGTGTCCAATGTATGTTCTTGACCCTATTTTGTATTCTTTCATCTTGACCTTTTCATGTTTCTTCTGTTTCTAATCAGGTATCGAAGCGGCTGTACAGTATGGGCTGTTATGAAATCTCTCTGGGGGACACAATTGGTGTGGGGACTCCTGGAAGTATGAAAAGAATGTTGGAAGCTGTTATGAAAGAAATTCCTCTGAGTGCTCTTGCTGTTCACTGTCATGACACATATGGCCAGGCATTAGCCAATATCCTCACAGCCATACAGGTAACTCAGGTTCTCGTTTTATAGATATGATAGTGGTAGTCTTAGTTTAATTCAAATGCACAATTTTAAAAGATTCCAGCCTTAAAGAAATTACTAGAAAGGGAAAGAGTCACTCACTAAACTTTCAGAAAGTATTGCTCACACATTGGATTGTCTACAAGTATCACTGCTGTTGCTTTTGCAAGAAAATTTCAATTCCTATCTACTTATTACCTTCAGTTGTATGCAAAATCAGTAAGAAACACCGGTGATTATTATATTCCATTGATTTTGGATAAATGAGGGAGATAAGATAGGATTATTTTCTGATGTCTCAGATTCCACTTTTCTTAGGAGCATCTCTGTGTTCATTGCTCACTAAACTGTCTATTTTACAGAGGTGTCTAAATATAAAATAGAATAATGCATAATTACAGCTTGATTTCAGATGGATAAATCTAAATCATTGGTAATTATGTACACAGAGTGGTGTAGATAATTTTATCACTGTTAACACCCCTTCAGTATGCTTTTTTATTAATTAAATTTTCCAAATAAGATTAGCAACAGCTTCATATCCTATTTAGTCTTCTTTCACATCTGTGACTAAATAATCAGAAATAGTTAATTTCCATAAGAGATATTTTTCCCTTTGTGTTAATATTTTTAAGAATAGGACACAATACAAGAAACAGACTACAAGTTCTAATGTAGTTTTTGTAAAGATATAATATTGAAAAATATTTTAATGTGTACATGCATTCCTAAGGAGACCTGTTTTTACTAAATGTTACAAAATCAAAAGCTGTTTACAAATTGTAGGCCTTTATTGTTCTATTTTATATTTAATGGCATCTTCTGCTTCCTTGCAATTCAGGCAGCAATTTTTAAGGTCAACTTTCCTTTGTCCTGACTTATTTTGGCAGAGCTCATATTATGTTGTTTAAAAATAACAGCAGTGTGTTAACAGTATTAGTGATAAAAATAACAAGAAGGAATAGGGAAATGTTTCAATATGCGAATCTCTGCAGGTATTTGATAAAATACTGAATGTCAAAATCTGGTAAAAAAGGTTCTAACTTTTACTCACAGTGTTCACTGTTGACCCTTACTCACTTTTACTGTTGCAAATGTGTGTGTATGTACCATGGGATAAATAAATTGCTAATTTCACAGTTAGCTTCAGTTGCAGATGTAATAGCTAAAAGCATGAAAACTCCTGAGCATGGGAGGAGTTCGCCATAAAAATACTTGAAGCATTGTTTTTCAAATCCTTCCTTAAAATAATTGCTGTTATGGTGCCTACTAAGCAATGAATGATGGCTGTGCTTTGTTAACCCCAGGATTTGTTATAAGTGATTCTTGTTTCAGGTTTACCTCCTGCTCCTATCCTTTTATTTACTTCTTAAATTAACTATGTAAGAGTTAAAGGGGAAAAAAGCTCTCAGGTACCTAATGTGCAGTTCAGGCTAATTAACGTGTTAAATTCAAGAGAGCAATAGACCTAAACAAAAATCCCTATGCAGCCTTCTCAGATTTCTGGGAAGCCAGGGGTGCCTGAGACCCACCAGAAAACTTCCCTACGTGCTCAGTTTCTGCTACAGAAATTCTTCTGGTCAAAGAAACAAGGTGGCTAGCGGTGAATGATAGCTAAGCAATACTCTTTCTAAAACAGGACAACTTCTAATGGTAAAGTGCCAAAGCCAGCAGATCAGAGTGCCCAGGTCACTTCTAGCCCCTGCTGTCAGGCTTGCCTGTGCTTTCCTGTCTGCCAAAGATACCTGAATGGCAAAGTGCTGGAGTAAAACCCCTTGTCTTCAACTCAGCCATTTGTTTCATAGACCAGATTCTCCACAGATGCAATTCCCGTCTGTGCGACCAACACCATATTTCATCAGGAGTGAAATGTGTTTGAGGGGTTATAGAAATAATGGGCTACGTTTATTGTTTGAAAACAGTTTTCAAGAACATTCAGCAGGCAAATTACACTCTTCCTAAGACATTGCAGTCTACAACCTCAGGCTGAGTACTATTGTATTGTATATTGTATTTCCTAAGAATTAATGAATGACAGCTGGAAAGCCACAAATAACTCTGCACTAATTCAGGCATTGCTTCGATGGGAGATCTCCTAGGAGTGGAAAGAGGTGCTGGTGATTCAGTAAGTGATTTTTTTATGCAGATCACATTGTTCCATGCAGGATTATACTACCCAAAATATTTTCTTTTGTTTGGGGCTGATCCAAAGTCATCTAGAACTGACAGGCCGTATCTGTGTAAGAAATTAGCAGGGAAGTAGTCTTGTAATTTTAGTATTCAGTTTTATGTGTGTTGTTTTAGCAAAAGGATAGGTAGTGAAAGATGGGAGAGAGATTAGCCAACTTTTTAAGGATAAGTAATTTTTTAACTTGTTGAAGTGAATAATATAGATAGAAAGCATTGCATAGAGAAAGGAAATTAACTTTCTTTTATGAAGAGAATCTGTGTAAAAATGTGAGGAACATGAAATGATACTTCAGAACAAAACAGTAAACAATTAAAGTAGAAACATGACTGGCTCTTGGTTAAATGGTTTAATATAAAAATATCAGAGTATAAAATTTACCAAAGAGACAAATTCAGAAGATGGGAAGTGATGTGGCAATCTAGTTAGAGGTTGTGGTATTTTGAGTAAAATTACATATGTGCGTTAGCTAATGTGACAAACACAAAATGTAGCTAAAAGAAGTAGTAAAACATTTATAGGAAATTGTTACAGACCTCCAAGGAAGGGTAAAAAGATGGGTCAGGAAAGTTCTGTGCTGGAGAGGCCCCAATAAGGTAGACCATTGATCTGAGGAGATTTCTGTTACCTTGACAGTTGACTCCCATAGCGTGTACAGAACGGGTGAGAAAGGGGAAGTTTTTTAATGGAAGTGATACAGAACTCTTTTTTGTTTTGCATAGCTTGTGTAGCTGCCAGAAATAGCTTTGTTTGTTTTCATAGCGCATATCCGAACATGAGAAAGAATATGCTAAGAGGCAAAGGGGAGTTTTGGCCCGTAGTGATACCTCAGTGAACGAAAAAATCGCATGGTAATCCCATAGAATTTTATCAAATTCAAATCGCTATTGTAATTCATTGATATAAACTGATCCCCGCACTACTGGGATCAAATCCCAACTTAGAGAAAACAAGCATAAAACTCTAATGACTTATGGGGAGCAAGGATTTTTACCACCTTGTGTAATCATTTCCACCTTAATGGACACAATGAGGTGAATGAGATTGATGATTTGCCAAATGAAATTATTTTTTATTAGTGCTTCCTTTTCCCAGAAAACAGGAATTTTGAAATAAAATCCACACTTTAGTACCAGAAACAGAATTTATCAAGGCTCTAATTAAACTTTCAAGGTTCAGACTGCAAAATCCAAATTTCTGAATATGGATTTTCATTACAAACGTTATAATATATCCCCTTACAGAGAGTTTAAAATATTTAATAGTGTCTTTAAGATCCCTGAATTTTAAAGATTAAATAAACTTTTTTTTTTTTTTTAAATCCAGATAGAAACGGCTGGCTGGTGACCTCTTCCCTTCATCACTTAACTGAATAGATTCTAGCCCCTTTGGTGCATGCTGGAGAGACTAACCAACTTGCGTATTTTTGTGCATCCAGTTTACTTATGTAGTAAGGACTAGGCTCACACAAAGGCATTCAGTGTTGATATGGCTAAGTTTTAAGTGCCAGAGCCAGGAGAGGAGTCTGAGCATGGATGCTGAAGTTCATGGTTTATTAATTCACAAGGTTCGTTGTGTTACAGGGACAGAGTTCACAATGGCCAGCAGCTTGAGATGGTGGAGCCTAAGTTAAACAACTGAAAAAAGACTGTGTTTAAAATTCCCTCCTCCGTGATTCATGTGATCTTACATATGAAGCCTTAGGTGAGCTGAATTTTCCACCCAGAACCAGCTCCTAGATGCAAGTACCTAGCTTGTCCTTTTTATTTTTTCAAATACAGGATTTGCTGTTTGTGGCTGTTGAGCTCGCCTGTAGTGACGGGATGTCAAGACCCCTTTCAGACGGTGGTTGGAGGCCAGCTTGCTGCTAAGATCTCTTGTCCAGGAGTTGCTTGCTGCTAAGGACCCTCAGTGGGGGCTCCCCCTCCTTCACTTGGGGGTGGCTTTAAACCTGAAGCTCTTGTGCTTGGCCCCTGCCTAAAATACTCTGCAGCAGCATTGCAGTTGCACTTTGCTCCCAGTCTTGCATATCCCTGATTCTCACCCTCTGGCTTGATTTACTGGATTAGCCTCAGACCTGGGTGATCTGTGACCGATCCTGGTTACTGTCACCAGTCCCGATCTGATCTTGAATCAATGATTCAACACTTCTTGGAGTTTTTCGGTGAGGCTGCCGCCACTGCCTGCCTAGCTGGGACTCTTGGCTCCTCGCTTGCCTTCCTTTGTGGAGCAGTCTGTCCTTGCTGCTGCTCGGGACAGTCAAGTCTTTAGAAGAGGGACTAGCAGCCAATATCTTGAGCTTTAAGGATGGCTCTGAATGGCAGGTAGTGGAGTGGGTGCTGAGCTGGGAGATAGAGCAGCTGTGAGAGTTAGCGGGTCTTGTGTGCTTTGATCGTGGAGCTCAGCTGGAGGCTTTGTCTTGCAGAGATGCAAGATGTTGCTCCCGTGTTAGATCCAGGAAGCACTTCTTGGTGTCTGGGTGTACAACAGTTCTGCACTGGGAACTCTGTTGGGTCAAAAAAAAAGAGTCCAGAAACCAGCCTGAGGAGTTGGTGTGTCTGACAGAACTTAAACGTCTCTTTTATGTGCCAGACTACTTTCACTGCCATTCCCCTCTTAAGTTTTTAGACCTGTATTTCTGTGACTAACTGACCTAAAAGACTATACCCATAATGATGAATTTCTAGATAAATACAGAATCTGTAAGAATATTTCTGTACTAGAAAATTCACTTAGCATTTGGATCCTGCAGGCAGTTCCATTGCCTTCGATTTGTCTAGCTTATTTTAATAGATGT